AATATGAGTTTAGAAAACATCTTTGCTTTTCTTCATATCTATCATACTTTTCATTGAATATATCTATCATGCCTTTCATTGAATATATATATATATATATATATATATGTATGTCTATATATGTCTATATGACTAATGTTTAAGTTTTTCACAATGAACAATGAGTTTTTCCTGAAGTGACATTTGAAGTTTCCAGGAAGAAGATGGGGCCCCACAACAACAACTCTACCTGGTTGATATGACGTCATAATACTGATAGCACTACTACAAGACCTGTTTTGGATACCAGCTGCACAAGACGATCCCAACTTGGTTAGCTGAAATGGTGCACATCTTGTACAACATTCTGGCCAGACCTGCACAAAATACTCAGAGACTATTTGCAATTTTAAAAGACATTGATCTTGAAATTTAACCATCATTTTACTTTCACAGGATCCCCCAGAAAGAACGTCGCCCCCATGACAGCTGGAAGTAATTCTAGAGGACGACGTCCCCTCTCCCAGTAAAATTTACCCCTGGGTTTAGGGACATCATTTAGGGGTTGGGAGGTTGGGGGAAGAATTTTATAAGCTCAGGGATCATTTTGAAAAAAAAAAAGAGGGAATGATGGGATAATAGATTTATAATTGTGAGTTACTGCTTTTAGACAAATATATTGGTATCGATTCTTGTATATTGATACAAAGTTAAATTATATTGACTATTGTATGCATGCATGTTTCTATGTCTGTTTAAAACATTTTTATGTATTGACATATATTGTATTGATAAATATATATTGTATATATTTACCATATTGCAGTGTACATTTCTACCTATGATTAAGATACGTATATAATGTTTGTGTATTGATATATATTTACCATATTGCAATGTATATTTGTACAGTGTTTATATTTGGAGGTCATTATCCTCATTTGTTACACAGTTGTTTGTTGTCTTAGTCTTTAAGTTAGAAAGATATTGAGAATTACATAGATAAATAGTCATCTAAGTTTGTCATTTATAATCAGACTAATCAGGTTCTCTAGATATATAGAGATTATACTCAGTTTAGATAGATAATCTTCAACCTCTTCAAAGAGCTATAGAAAATGGCCTTTAATCTAACTCAGAGTTTTGTGATAGTGAGACACAATTGCTCCTGGCAACACCGCTCTATTCCCGAGAGAATGTTGAGCACCAAAGACACTTCACCTGGAGCCTTTCTTTTTGGCAGAACTGGCCTTTGGGCAAAGAAATGCCCATACCTCAACCACTGACAGAGATACAGAGCATGCATCAATGGATAAAACAGGACTGTCATATCCTGCCAAGACAGGGTAAGATAGTCTTGAAAAGTTCCTTTCCTTTAATAATGGTATGTCAGTTATGTTAGGCCTTAGCCAAAGTTGGTTGACTCAACATTGCAAACAAGACTTTGGGTGATTGCTCAGGTAGTCAGTTGTCTCTGTCAATTGTTGCACATTTTGGATATATCTCGTTTGTTAAGTAATATTTATTCCCTTCTCAGATCTTTGACGGAGTTGAAGATTATATAATTGTAGTTACTCTCTACATTATTTAGACTCCTTGAGATAGAATGTTTAGCAAAACTTTTGTTCTCAATATTGTTTCTTATATTTATGATTTGTTATTATTGTATATAGTTGTATTTGGTTTAGTTCTGTCTTATTTAGACAAAAAGGGGAGATGTAGAGATAAGTCCCGCCCCTAAGGGGGCGTGTTCGCCTCGGGCTAATGTTTGCTTATAATTTTGGCGAGCGTGCTCCCAGCCATTGCTTCTGCTTTCCTGGTCTCCGCGGGAACGGTGGTCCTGTAAGTCTATTTCTCCTTTAAAGCTGTATATATATTTTTACAATCTGTCTGCATTCGCTTACATCATTACACTAAGCTTTGAAGATAATTATATTTCTTACTTTAAAAATGCTTTTCTTAATGGCCAGTAGCAAGTGACTCAGTAACTACCTATGCAAGAAGAAAATGAATACGTTTTATAGGATGGTGAAATAAGAAAGCCCCCCCCACACACACACATACATACACATACATGCTTGGTCTTCAGTTGGTGAAGAATTAGGAGGTACGGTCTTGTTGGAGGTGTGTCACTGGGGTCTGGATTTTGAGTTTCAAAAGTCCGTGCCATTTTCGCTCTCTCTCTCTCTCTCTCTCTCTCTCTCTCTCTCTTTCTCTCTACCTTATGTCTGTGGATCAGGATGTAGGCTGCCAGCTACTACCCAGTGCCATGCCAGACTTCCTGCTTCCATCATAGACTCTAACCCTCTGGAACCATGAGCCTTAATATTTTCTTAAATAGATTTCTGTGATCATGATGACTCTTAACAGATATAGAAAAGTAACTAAGACAGGTGTGGTGATTGAAGAAAACAGAATATTTCCTATCCATTCTTCCTGAGAGCTCCCCTCAGGGCTCCCTAAGTCTTAGCATGAGGACCAGAGTTGTTCCTAAACCTGGTGCCTTGTGAGTCTGCTAATAAATCAAAGATTCAACTCTACTAGCTCAAGCTGTACAAAGTCAAAATTCGGCTTGAAATGTCTTACCCATCATTTCTTCAGGAGACAAAATAGCTAAGCAAGTCTCCAGGGTAATTTGTAAACTCTTGTGATTTTTCTGGGGAATTTGGCAAAACATAGTGATGATTAGTGACAAGTGACAAGTGTGATGATCTTGTCATTCACAAGACTGACAGATCTAGAGATCTGTGTAATTACCAGGACTGTGCCAGCCTCTGAACCACTGAAGACTGATGAGATGGGCCCAACTCATGATCTGGTTACAGAAGCAGACTTGTAGCCAGACAGAGTCTGGAACCAGCTGAGTCACACCAGGTGATACAGCCAACTCCCTGGCTTGAGAGGCACTGTGGCCAGAATTGAGTTTGGTAACAGCATTCTCTGAGACCCTTGAGGTTATGTTAAGGAGGAAAATGCAAAGCCTTGGAATTTGAAAATTCCAAGTACATCTCACCTGAAACCTATTCAACATTATCCTTCCCCTAAGACTGAGTGCTGCTGTGGCCCAGAAAGCCCCTCAGGATGAAACCTCACCAGTGGTCTGTCTTAGTTGGGGTTTCTATTGCTGTGAAGAGACACAGGACCACGGCAACTCTAGGAAAACATTTAACTGGGGTGGCTCACTTACATTTCAGAGATTCAGTCCATTATCATCATGGTGGAACATGGCAGCATGAAGGCAGACATAGTACTGGAGAAATAGCTGAGAGTCCTACATCTTGCGGCCAATAGTTAGTGGCCTGAGTGTCACACAGAATGTGAGCATAGGACTTCGGGCTGATGAGGGAGGGGGATTTGATCGGGGGAGGGGGAGGGAAATGGGAGGCGGTGGCAGGGAGGAGGCAGAAATCTTTAATTAATTAATTAATTAATTAAAAAAAATGTGAGCATAGGAGACCTCAAAGCCCACACCCACACTGACACACTTCCTCCAACAAGGCCACACCTGTTTCAATAAGACCACTGTTCCTAGCAGTGCCATTCCCTATGAGTTTATGGGGTCAACTTCATTCAAAACCAACACATTTCACTCCACGGCCTCATAACTTATAACAATATCATGATGTAAAATGTATTTAGTCCAACTTCAAAAGTCCCCATAGTCTAATAGTAGAGTCTCTACAATGTTTAAAAGTCTCTTCTAAGAATCATGCAGTCTCTTAACTTACCATTCCAAAATGTAGAGAAGGGAGCATAGTGACAAAATGCTGAACCAAAGCAAGACTGGAAACCAGACGGACTAACTCCAAACTCCATCTCCATATCTGATATCAAAATGCTTTTCAGAACTCCAACTTCTTTCACTTTTGGTGACTGCAGCACACTTCTTTTTCCTGGACTGGTTCCACTCCCTGTTAGCAATTTTCTTCAGCAGATATGCCATGGCTCTGGTGTCTTGGGGTCTCTAAGGCAATCCAGGCTTCACCTTCACAACTTCACATAATGACCTCTAGACCTCCATTCAAGAAAACATTTAGTTGGGGTGGCTTACAGTTTCAGAGGTTTAGTCCATATAGTGGTTTGAAAGGAAATGGCCTCCAAGGGAGTGGCACTATTAGGAGGTTTGATTTTATTTTACACTCTCAGAGTAATCATAGTATTGCCTGCAGATCAAGAAGCAGCACTCTCAGCTCCTTTTCCCATACCCTGTCTGCCTGCATGGTGCCAAGCCCCACCATGGTAAAGAACTAAAACTCTGAAACTGTAAGATACTCCAGTGAAATGTTTTCCATTATAAGAGCTGCTGTAGTCATGGTCCCTTCACAGCAACAGAAACCCTAAGGTAGCTTCATATCTGATGTTTAACCTTTATCAGTTACCATTCAGTTCTCAGCCTATTCAGTTATCAATGCTTCCATCACAGGCACAGGTCAGTCACCGCAAAAGTGGGTTCCCGAGGCAAAGGATAAGCTCTTCCTCTCACGTATTCTCTGCCCTTCTACTACGCTATGAAACAGCAGAGGCTCCCTTTAGATGCCTGCATCATGCTCTTGAACTTTTGCACCTGGGTTATTTATAAATTACTCAGTCTATGTAGTTTTTAATGGCACCCAAAATTAAGCTAATTTTCTATTTATTTCTAATTTTTCTATTATTTTTCTTGTGTATGGTACACGAGTATGTGAGTGTGTGCAGGATGCACAGGCCAGAGGGCACTGAGTGTTCCCTTCTGCTCTCTGTCTTATTCCATCAAGTAAGGCCTCTCACTGAACATGGACCTTGCCAGTTCTCAGCTAGGCTAATAGCCAACAACTCCCAGAAATCCTTTATCTGTTCCCTCCAGTGCTAAGGTTAGGTCCGCATGCCTATGCATGGCTTATTATAGGGGGTCTAGGGATCTGAACTCAGATCCTCAAACTTATGTAGCAAGTGGCCTTATCCACTGAGCCATATCCCCCAGTTCCATTTTCTATTATTTTGGTAAGATGTAGAGAAATAAAAATGACAACAACACAGCCCTGTTACATCAAGAAGTAACTTTATCCAAAGGGAATTCACACAGAAGATACATGTGACATGAATTCATGTATGGTAAGTTGTGTACATACTGTGACATCCACAGCAACACAACTGCTCACAATTTTCACCCAGCTGCTAACTTACCTTACATCACCTTCATGAAAAATAGACTAGAGAGCATTCTTGAAGATGGCTTTCTAGGAAACACACGAAAGGGGCAAAGCAAGTCAAAATGCAGCACAGGCAGCAATGAGGCCCCGAATCTACTTTGGAAAAGTTGTCTGAAGTGAACCCTTGGAAATTCCTCAGAAGACTTAAAATTTTAATGACCTTTAAAAAAAATTGATGAGGTGACTAGACCAGTGGGAACACTATTTCTGAAGATATGCACGTGAGAAATCATGATCGTATACATACGTGTTACAAAAAAACGAAAGTCAATTTGGAGATTTTCATTTTAAAAATGAATGGCATTTGCTCACATAGTGGCACAACAGGGAAAATAAATATTTGATGACAAAAAACATTAAATAGCATGAAATGAATTTGAGTGCTGAAACTAAGAGTTTTATAAGAGATAATTTAGATGTTGTAAATGCTTTTATTTCACACTGCAGTAACGTATGGATTACTCTTATAATCACAACTCTTATAAATAACAAATCTATAAAAACCCAATCATGATGAGTCATTTAAAGAAAAAGTATTTTAAAAGGAAACAATTCTGGCAAGCCAGAATATAAAACTGCTAAGAACCAAACGGCAGGAAGATGGCTGCCAGATGCCCAATGCAAACATGAAGAAAGGACTGCGGTTCTGAGCACCCTCTCTGGCTTAGCAAGCGCAGTGAGCCCTGCTTCAGAGCCAGAGAAGCCCCTCTGTTACTGTATAACATACACTGAAAATCTGTAAGCCATTTCTGTGCTGGTTCCCTCTGTATGCAAAAGAAAGTCCTAAAAACCACAGTGATGTCTTTCCAAGCACAGAGAACTGAGATGTGTAAAACAATAATGGTTTCAAAATAAAGAAAAGAAAGGAAATCAGTCTTCGCCTTCTCTATTGAATCATGCTGTGGAGCCCAGGGTCATGGCCCCATAAGCAGTCATGTAGACTGAAAACCTGACAACAGTAAGGTTTCTAATGTCTAATACACAATGGCCAAAAATTAATTCAAAACCAAATGTGTAATGAATCTGAGGTGTTTCTGGGCTTCCCCCTATATCACTCAACTTCACTGCAGCCTTGGTTCTGAGACACACCTGATGCACTTCCTGTCATGCCATGCAACAACAATAAACCCTGTCTGAATACCTCAGCTCGATACAGGTTACTTCATGTATTATGAGTTACAGTCATTTCACTGTACAAACTAAGCTTCCTGAAGCATAATGCTTCGTTATAGAAAACAAAGACTTCAATACCCCCTGCTATTCTGAATCAAGTCAGTAATTAAGCCAGAATCTCTAGACTGTATTGTCTTAGAAAGTTTGATTTTAAAAATTGTAGGCTTCAACTTCATTGAAAAATTTTAAATATGTTTTGGCTTTGGATAGGGACAGAACTTCTAACATCTTAAACAGCCCTAAACATATTTATGACATCTTGTACTATGTATTTAAGTGAAAGCATTGACAATTAGAAAAACAAAATATCAACCAAGTCTGAAGCACATCAAAGATGCTTAGTTGAGATCCAATTCTTATGTAAAAAAAAAAAGGATATCCACCTTATGAGTAGGCAAATATGTCTTCCTCTTTAATATGTGGTAAAATTGCAAATCTAACAAAAATTGTGCTAAATAAAGATGTTTCTGTGCTCTGTGTGTATGTGTGCAGGTGCACATTGAGGACAGAGGAAGACATCAGGTCCCCTGAAGCTGGGTCACAGCCAATTGTGAGCTGATGTAGGCTCTTGGAACCAATTCAGGTCTTTTGCAAGAGCAATATATGCTCTGAACCCTGAGCCATCTGTCCAGATCCCTAAATTAATTTTATTTGATTTACTTGCAATGTTTGATATGTATTACCTATTTTAAATGCTTATAAAACTGGGGTTGCATAAACATGTCTTGAGTGAAAGGATGCAAAGTAAAAATAAATTTAAGAAGCCCTGTTATAAAGGTGCACTGCCTCAGGTTAACAGCACATAAGAAGATGGCAGGCACCCAGGTGAGAAGGAGACAACCTTCACTGGGCTATGCAAACAAGACAAGTAGATCTGCTCTGAGCCAGATCTCAGCAGTAAGTGCTTTCTGAGAAGCCTGCAGAGAACGAAGACACAGGCAGCAGTAGAGGAACTCAGTAACACTGACTAGTGTTAGACATCCACTTAAGAATATCTGACGAGCCGGGCGGTGGTGGCGCACGCCTTTAATCCCAGCACTTGGGAGGCAGAGGCAGGCGGATCTCTGTGAGTTCGAGACCAGCCTGGTCTACAAAGAGCTAGTTCCAGGACAGGCTCCAAAACCACAGAGAAACCCTGTCTCGAAAAACCAAAGGAAAAAAAAAAAGAATATCTGACGAATACACAATTCTAAATGTTAAATTGTTAGTGATGATTGGCCACTGCATAGACAGGCAAAAGTATTTGGCATCCAGATTTCAGACAAGTGTTACAGAATCTATTCCAAAAATGTGGTGCTCAGGAAGTAGTACATTTCAAAGGATAAAGTTGAAGTAATTCTATTCTTCAAAACAAGCAGACTAAGTCCACACTATCTAAATGTAGCAGTTGAAAAAGTTTCAAAAAAGTTGAAAAATTATTTGTGTGTGTTGTTTTTTTTTCTTTTAAATGTATCAGGTTGTATGCTTAACAGAACACATTCTAGACTTAGGAAATAGTACATTATTGAAATGAAAAATGGAATTTTGATTAATAAATAACTGGAACTATATGTTTAAAGAAAACAAAAATATCATTTTTAAAAGGCAAAAATTTCTAAATAAATCTATAAAAATCAATGTGCAGGTGCATAGCAAGAAAAGAATAAAAATGATCTCTAACAATTATGCCATTAGATAGAAAATTGGATGATTTCTCAATTATTTACTTTTCTTTGTTACTTTGAAACATACTCTGTGTAGCTGGCTGACATGGAACTTACTACGTATGCGGGTTGTCTTCTGATGACCCTCCAGCTTCTACCTCTCAAGTACTGGGATGAAGTGTCATCATGCCAAGTCTACAATAGTTAATTTTTATCTTAAATGTTTGGTCCTCTCAGCTTTAATGGACAAAGCAATCCAAATCACTTCGCAAACTTACACTGATCTAAGTTATATCAATTCTGGGATGACCTATCATTTGTACTTCAACAGAAGCTCAAGTGTCTTGTTTACTCAGTAAAAGAAAGGCCAAATCTGACCATATTGTGAGCAATAGTTCACAATGAAAAGAAGAGATTTCAAAAGGCAAAATTGTCTTGTCTACAAGAATTTTCCCCCTGGTTGATTGTACATTTTAAAAACTGACAGGCCAGGCAGTGGTGGTGCACACCTTTAATCTCAGCACTTGGGAGGCAGAGCAGGTAGATCTCATTTCAATGCCAGCCTGGTCTACAGAGTTTCAGGACTGGCTTCAAAGCTACACAAAGAAACCCTGCCTTGGAAACAAACAAGCAAACACAAAACAATACAAAACAAAAAACTGAGTAAGTCCCTTGCTTTTTATGAAGACCTAAGTGAAAATAGTTTTGTATAATGCATAATGCATCATTGCAGCATGAAGAGGGGCAAAATACAGAGTAACAGATACAAATTCAGCACTATTTGTCTTAAGGAGCTCTCTCAGTCACGAGTACAGAGTATATTTACTATAACAGTATAGCAACCTGCAAACCACATCATCTTTTAATTCCTCATTTGCTCTGACTACATTTTAAAATGGAATTTTCATTATAGACAGTAGACAACAAGCCAACAAATTCCCACTTTTCCCACATTAAATACAATTCCAAATAGCACTCTTAGAATTTCTATAAATCACTAACAATCACTGAATTTACTAAGCAGAGATATAGACTTGCTCTTGTCCTCTTCAAAAAGTATAAAATGTATGCTTTAAACAGATAAAATACATACAAAAAGTTGGGTTTCTATCGGGAACACAGTGGGTGAAAAGCACATAAGGTAGATAAATCATTCTGCATAAGAGATGGCATTGCTCCACACAGCTTAGGAATCCTGGAGGTGTCCTGGCTCCTACTTCACAGCGGGGTTTTTGGGAGGAAGGAGTTTGTATGTGTTGAAGTAGCCCACCACCTGCTGGGGAATCTCTGCCAAGACACACTGAGCAAGTGCTTCTTTTGGAGCCTTGAGGAAAAACAGTCACAGTTACTATTACCAAATCGAGATTTGCTGGCTTGCACAGTTGTCTCTGTAGCTCAAGCTGGCCTTGAACTCACTAGGTAGTCAGGTATGACCCGGAACTCTCTCTATCCTTCTCACTCTACCTACCAAGTGCTGAAATTGCAGGCATACACAACCATTTTGGTTGATATTCTGGCTGTTTGATAAAAGACTAGAGATAACTCAGCAGTCATTAAAAAGTAGTAATTCCCAGCCTCTAGGTTTGTGCCTTAGGAACAGTCCACATAATATAGGAAAAGTAATTCATGGTATTTATAATTGCCATCATTATCAGTGCTAATATGTGTCAAGTTATTGGGTGCCAGCCATTTCATATTTAATAAGTCTGCTGTTGTTATGCCTCTTACTTTTTGAGGTAGGATCTTACTATGTAGCCTAACGTGGCGTGGAAAACAGTGTAGACCAGGCTGGCCTTGAACTTGAGATGGCCTGCTTCAGCCTTCTGAGTGACCTTGATATATTTCCTGCCTCTGTTTGCTGAGTGCTGACACTATAGGTGTGTGCTTAGATGCACAGCCTATTTTTTTGTAATATATCCTTAGCTTTTCCTTTTGAAGAAAGCCACATTAAAAGGTTGTTCTAGAGCTGGGCAGTGGTGGCACAGGCCTTTAATTCCAGCACTCAGGAGGCAGAGGCAGACAAATCTCTGTGAGTTCGAGGCCAGCCTGGTCTACAAGAGCTAGTTCCAGGACAGGCTCCAAAGCTACAGAAAATCTTTCTCTTGGAAAACCAAACCAAAGCAAACAAAAACCACATTGCTCTACTTGTGCCTACAGACTTTATGTTAGTCACACAAAGAGTTTATTATTCTCATGACTACTAAATGCAACCCCCATTTTAATTACCTATTAGCTTGAGTAATAGCATAAACTGATTTTAAAAGGTGTTCTAAGTATTAGTCACCATTCTGAAATGAGCATGTAAAAATCTAATGCACAATGGTATATGAAACACAGTCTGTGACTACAGGAGTGACGTAAACAGAATGATTCTAAATGCTTCTTTTCCCAAACAACCCCTTCATGGAAGGCCTTCATATCAGCATTTGTAAAAGCACCAGATATTGTTTGTAAAGTCTGTTCATAAGTATCCCATGCTATGGATATACCATAGTTTTCTTCATCATTTACCTGTTGAAGGATATCTGGGTTGTTTCCAGCTTTTATCTAATATGAATAAAGCTACTAAAACATTCACATATGGGTTTTTGTTTTTTAAATATGTGGATATAAGACTGTATTTCATGTAGCATTATACATTAAATCCTTCCATGTTCTTCTCAAAATGGTCAGCCTGATCTACACTGAGAAGGCAGAGTCACAAGATGCCATGTAGCTGCTGAACGAGACAGATGCTGGACCCTTACAAGTGCCTCGTGCTGATACACAGATTAATAGAAATGGAAATAGAATTTAAGATGTAAGAGTTAGTTAATAAGAAGCCTGAGCTAATAGCCAAGCAGCGTTGTAATTAATATATAGTTTCTGTGTGATTATTTGGGTCTGGGCAGCTGGGAAACGAACAAGCAGTCTCTGAGCCAAAGGAAATTTTTCCTTCTACAAGGTGTCTTTGCCAGACAATTTTTCACAGCCATGAGGAAAGTGATGACTACAAAGTAACAAAAAATCTTAAAATGTTTATAACAATATTATTTGAAGTTTATCATTCTGTTATTATTATATCAAAAGCACAAAGGATAAAAAAAATGCCCAACCAAATCGAACCTCTCACATGCAAAAGCAAAGGCAACCTGTTTAAGCCAGAAAGAATGGTACTCACATTCTGGAACTGTCTGAAAGGCACGAACTGAACAATATCTCTTATGGCCACCTCTCCTGATGGGGAACGGAGACTCCCCCCATCACCATCCAGAAACTCCATGGCACTAAAGTCGGCTCCCCCAACTCCTACGATGATGATAGACATGGGCAGCTTGGAAGCGTTGACGATCGCGTGTCTAGTTTCATCAAGGTCTGTGATCACACCATCCGTGATGATCAAGAGCACAAAGTATTGCTGCCAGAAAGGAAAACATGTTCCCTGAGCAGGTGAAGGTCACACAGTGAAGGACTGACCTAGGGTAGTGAGTCAACTGCTTCACTCAGGTCATTGCCAGTGTGTTTCTGGGCTATCAACTGCATAACAGAGCCTGAAATTCTCTGACGACAAGGACCAACTCTAGATTCATTAGAAGTGCAACACATCACAGAATAGGTTGAAAAAAAAATACACAGAAGACCTCTAAATGTCAAAGACAAACCTTTCAAGTAAGCAGAATAAACACTCATTAAACATGTCAAAGACTGGAACAAGGGAGCAATGAGAACTCCACTCTCAACAGATCCCAAACTGCCAAAGAAGGGTTATCTGCCCAGCTAAAACACACGCTTTAAAAAAATTTTGGTTTTTTGATGAAACTTTCCAGAGTAGTAAACTGTCACATAAAGATATAGGGCAGGAATAAGATTTATGATAGTAACTTATAGTATGGGAGTGTTCTCTCTGACCCAGGCACTGTTTGCATTTTACATGAATTATCTTGTTTAACTTTTCAACACCTACACAATGGGGCTCCCTACAATCTCTGCTCCTAATTTTAAATATACTACAGCTTGAGAGATTTGATAACCAACATCTGACTGGTAATGGTCAGCCAATTCAAACCTTTGCATTACAGTAAGTGATGCAATACCAACAACTGATGTACTCAAAGGCCTTCACATGAAGTGTTTTTCTAAAAGTTAATAGCCCCCCTTTTTTTTTGTAGAATCTAGTAAATTACTTCCGAAGCCAGAGAAAAGACTCAAAAATGTAAGCATTATTTTGTTTTATTGATCATTAATAGCAACAGATACCTCTCCCAAACCAATGCTAATTATATCAGTACTCCTTACTCTTGACTTATTATCCTGACAAATTCAATAAACAGTATGGCAACCAGGAAGAAGTACCAACCACACCCTTCCTGTTTCTGAGCCTAGAGCACTTACAGATGCTGTCTGCTGCTGTGTGGCTGCAGCTGCAAACCTGGCCACATGATTTATAATCGGAGAAAAATTAGTTGGCCCATAGAGTTTTATCTGAGGAAGACAGGTCCGATAAGCTTCTATAATGCCTTGGATTCCTAGATCAAAGAAAGTAGTATTAAAAATCCTCAAATATAATTTGTTAACCCACAGTACTGGGAAGCACAACTATATACATATTAGCAAAGTTCTATAAAAATATAAGGTTATAAGGCTAACTAATTCTAATTAACTAGGTGATACAAGTAAGGGTCAGGCTTGGTATAGTAGACGGCAGTAGTTTAATATTCACATAGGCTATTTTCTGCATTTTCTGTAGAAACTGTAAAATTTAAGAGTTTCAAGAAACTCCTTTTGGTCATATTGAATTTAGAAGCAAGTAGCCTTGAGCAACCTGTGAGAACAATTCACACTGAGATGTGATTTTACAGTGATAAACTGATAGTCTAACAGTAGTAACAATAATATTAACCACAGCTGGCAACATCACTAACTGCAATGGAATACACCGTAGAAAAACTGAGCATATAATTCCAGCAACAATAGCTGTGGTGATTTAAATAAGAATGGCACCCATAGGTCAGAGATGAATGCTTGGTCACCAGGGAGTGGCATTATCTGAAGCGATTAGGTGTGGCCTTGTGGGAGGAAGTGCATCACTGGGGTGGGGTTTGAGGTTTCAGAAGCCCATGGTAAGTTCAGAGTCTCTCTCTTCTCAATGTCTTCTTGCATGCCACCATGCTCCCCACCTTGAAGATAATGAACTAAACTCTGAAACTCTCTTTCTTTTGTAAAAGTTTCCATGGTCGTGGTGCCTCTTCACAGCAACAGAACACTGACAACGACAGAAGTATTTTCTCCATTTGTATTATTATGTTTGCTTTGTATCATGAAGGTTTTTAGCAATTTACTCTCTTCACAAAGCCTTAAATTACTCACCTAAAACTGAATTATACTTAAATACTTCCTTGCATTAAAGCAATAAGTGAAATGTTATTTCTAGGCAACTAAGCTAATGACGTCTTTAGAAAAATAGAATTTAACTTTGGTGTCTTAAAGCCTTACTTTTTCTATGTTGCGTATCTTTGATCTACAACCAAATTGGTTGTTTTTTTCAGACTATGAACTTGGAGTGAAAACGTTATTTTCTTGATGAGCAGACCAAGGATGGGTTCACACTATTTATAGAGCATAAAACTTCTAAAAGGAGTTGTCAGATGACATAGGTATACTTAGTATATTCTAAAAATAACTCCAATTTCAGATAAGCACCAACGTGAGGTGATTTTCTACCAAACAAAGTAGAAATGTGTCACAACCTGAAATTTAGAGATGAAATATGAGTAGCTCTAACCTGCAAGGAAAAGATAAGAATGAATGAGGTGGTCTTCATGTTTGGCTTTTTGGCTTTACTTACCATTACAATAGGGGTTTGATGGGTTAAAGTTCATTGGAAATTCATGCGACACCTGTCAAAAGAAAAAAAGTCTGGTGAGGCCTGTTTGCTAGTCCAGAATAAAGTTTTAAAAGGAGATTGCATGCCAGCTCAATCCTTTCCAGGCCTGAGTCAGTGGAGGACACAGATGGCTCCACCCCCAGACTTCTTGGTCTGGAGGGCACTATCAGCCAAGAGCCTACCCAATGCCTCTGGCACCTGGCAGTCTGGCCCCATCATACCAAGCACTGCCCAAGGTTTCTAGGCCCAGGTATGCAAGAGAAAAGCAACAGCTCCACACCATGCCTTGCAGCTGAGGCAGGCAGGACTCAACCATGAGCCACCTGTGACCCAACCAACGGCAATAATGCCAGCGTGGTTGGGCACCACCATAGTAAGCGAGTACAGGGTGGGGGAGAGAAAGAGAGCACTCACTAGAGAAGAGAGAGAGGCAAAACCGTTCATGGGCTGTGGAGAGAGGCAGATCTGAAGACATGAGGTTGGTGAGGAACAGGCTGATGTGAATGCCCTGCCAGCCACCCAAGTCCAAGGTGATATCCCAGCCTGGGCCAGGACGCCAAGGGCTAGGTCTTTGTCTGAGGACCTGAAACAGTCAACAGTGACTGAGGTGATGTCTATGGCTTCTGTTGCCACTGACGGCTATTCAGAACCCTGTGATGCGGGCCACCACCTGGAGCCATGTTGGTTGTCAGAGGGCCATACTGCTGCAGGGGCCAAGTCAATCTGGGTGGCCTACATTGCCACCTGGGGCCATGGTGATATCATGGTTCCTGCTGAGAACCATGTCTGGGTCTTTGACCCTACCACAGCCGGGATCTGAGTTGATGTCCCTGGCCTGTGATGCAGAAGTGGGGAGGTGCAAATGCCCAGAGACTAGGTTGCAACTTATAACCTAGCTGTTGTTTGAGGGTTGTGCTGCCACCAGGGCCAAGACAATTGGAGTGGCCAGTGCCTTGTCTGAGCAAAACAGTAGAGCTGGCCCTAGTGGTATGAGTGTGGTGACCTGGACCTGAGGCCGAGAATAGAACTGGCCCTGCTCCTTGCTGCAGACCACACTGGGTGAACTAGCTTGGGCAATGCTGGAGAGCTTGCCTGGGTAATGATGATGAGGGAAAGCTGGAGGGCTGACCAACCCAGCTACCACCCAGGCTCAGAACCAGGACTATGAGTTGGCCCACCCCAATCTCATCGCAGGTGAAGGGGATAAACCTATAGATCCAAAACAGCAGGATCTTGACAACACAGGACAACAATGGGATATCCAAGAGGAGTCCTAGTGAGAGCCCATTAATAGTGGCCTAGCAGAAGTCAGAGGTCTTGAGCTTGACCAATGACTCTGGCAATGAACCCTGGGGCAAGTAAAGATGAACGGACTAAAGGGTGAACTGTGAATTCAACAGGCCACACTACAGCTTCCATGACGAGATTCTCCTCCTTCTTGTTATTGTTGTTTGGTTTGGTTTTGGCTTTTCTTTTAAATTTGGTTTTGTTTTTTTTTTTAGGGGGGGGGCATTGCAAGGGCAGAGGGCAGATGTGAATGTACAGGAGATTAGTGGGATTGGAATGCATAATGTGAAATCTACAAAGGATCAATGAAAGTTAAAAAAGGGGGGGGGGGAATTACCTGCCACTGAGGAGGCACCTGAGCTCCAAAGCCGAAAGCTGGAAACATCTTATCACTAAAAAAGAAAAAGAAAACAAATTCAATAATTTTAGATATAATATATATTTATTCATATTTATGAGCTTATATTTAAAAAATCCAAAGCCATAAAAATTATAAACGAAAAATTACCTAGCACTTCCTTTACTAATGCCAATGCCAATACTGGAAAACACTCTAAATGTTTTTCTGTGCACTAAAGGAAGAAATATTTATACAGGTTTTTTGGTGTGTGTGACATGTATGTGTGCTATATACCTGAGTGTGTTCCTCTATCGCTCTCCACCTTAATGCCTTGAGAGAAGCATAAATTACAATTTATGGGGCAAGGGATAGCTCAGTAGTTAAGTACACTTGTTCTTGATGATGGGTTTATTTCCCAGGACCTGCAAGTACAGTTCAGGGGATCCAATACCTCTGCTGACATCCACAGGCTCCTGCACACATGTGGTGTATGTACATGCACTCACGCACACGTATACACATTAAATAAATAAATAAAGTATGTCTCATAATCCACTACTTTCCATTTAAACCTCATGTATTATTTCACTGAACAAGTATGAAAAGCCAAAACCAACCAAACAAAACCACATCTTTTTTCTTTTAAGCAGGACTGTTTGGTAAAAAAAAAAAAAAAAAAAAAAAAAAGTCTCAAATGATGAGGTTATGTGTAGCATTTACTTACGTCATTTCATGTGAATATTCATACAATTGACTATAGAAACATTGTGGGAAATGTCACGTATTATAAAACTCTCAAGTTTCTGCAAGAAAACATATGTCCATCTGGAGCCTGCCGTTCATGGACACGGAGTGTGGACCTGAATACAGAACACGTGAGCTGGTACTGACATGTCCAGGGGATGGGTATTCCCCCAGAGGCACAGTGAAGGTGGCCAACGTGCCTTACTACAGAACACCACCGAACACGGTTTTCTACTGGAGGGGTCTTTGTGTGCTCACTCGTACTTACTACATTTATTTATTTATGTGTGTGGGGTCACATGCTTGCTACAGCACGTATGTGGAGCACAGAGGGCAACTCAGCTTGTCAGGCTCGGCACAGGCACCGTCACCTGCACAACCACCTCACTTGTACTATTATTAATTCTTTACATTTGGGGCTTATTTTCCATTAAAGATAGAACCCATGTCATGTCAAAAATATCTTTCCTAGTCTATAGCCTGTCTCTAATGTTGTTTAGAAACTTCCATAGATTTTCTTTTTAAATTCTTTTACTAATGAGTCTATGAACACCCAAAGGGGACACCAGCTCCGTCTTTATCCCTTCCATCTCCCAACACTGATTATGGGCACAAACAACCATGTTAAGTTTTTGAATCGGTGCTGAGGATCTAACTGAGCCTCTCTTGCTTTCACAGAAATGGCTCTTACCCACTAAGCCATCTCCCCACCCTCTTTCATGGATTTTCATATTAGAGAATGTGAACACATACAAATTATTCCAAGATTTCTGCCTCTGTTGTCTTAGGAGCCAGGTACAATGCAAATTATAAACCATTTACTTTTGGTATTAGACTTCTCATTACTCTGAAAGGGGCTTTGACGTAGGGTACAAAGCAGAAGCAGCTGCTTCGCTCCTACTCTAGGAGCCCGAGATCAGGTGGCCAGATTCCAGCCCAAGGAGCCAAGTAGATTTTTTTCAGCAACATCGCATTATACCCCTAAGAGGAAATACACATGCACTCCTGGGCCCCTTTCTTTTCTTCCTACTGTCTAAAGAAGAGCAGAGATCTTGTCACCAGAAACAAAAGCTATAAATTGAGGATGGCAAAGATGTCGGGACAGTCCTGAACTTACTGCTATTCTGTTAGGCTATTTTGTTTAAGAGTATCTGCTTTATGGCACATGTGGCTTATCATATTTTTCAGGTATGAACTGTGGATTCAAATTCAATTCTTTGTTTTTTGTCTTGAGACAGGGTCTCACTATGGAACTCAGGCTGGCCTCAAACACACAGAGATCAACCTGCTTCTGCCTCCCCAGTGTTAGGATTAAAGGTGTGACCACTATGTCTGGCTTTAAATTCCACTCTTATGCAATATGTTGCTGTTACAATCAGCAACATACTCTTACAATATTCTTACTAGATTCACATATGTTACAGATTATTTCTTACCTACATGCTTGGTTCAGTTGGTGAAGTACAGTTCTATTTTTGAGTTTTGAAATAAATTTTAAAAGTTGTTCGAGCAGGGCTGAGAGATGGCTCAGAGATTAAGAGCACTTATTGCTCTTGCAGAGGGCCATTTGGTTCCCAGTACCTACACGGTGGCTCACAATCTTCATAATGTCACCCTCTTTTGAACTCTGTGGGCACCAGGTACACACGTGGTATATATGTACACATACACAGGCAAAACAATCATACATATAAAATTAATACTTTCAAAAGTTAAAAACAAAACTGCTAGAGCAAATTCTTCTTGCCTTTCTCCCTCCCTTCCGTCTTTCCTTTAGAAAAATATCTAGATGATTCTGACTCCTTCTCTTTAGAGAATTTTAAGACTCTTTTTGTCAGTATTCCATTGCAGTTCTAATTTAGATTGATTAACTGTGAAAGAACTTTCACTTCATATCATTATCACAGATCTCTTTCTATTTAAATATGGTCTCTTCTTAGTTCTTCAGTTCAATCTTTTAGCTTACCTTACTAAAAATCCAAAATATTTTACAAAATCCTATTCATTTATTATGATTTGTACAGTGACCTTTATTCACATCATTAGCTTAATTGGACAATACACTTTTGTTATGGACGGCTAGTGAGAAGTTGATGTTTTCTTATTCTGCATTTGTCCCTTTTTTTTCCTGAACTCTGGATACTTTCTAAATCTTTTAAATTCTGCCATTTAGGTTTTGATTTGTTAATTACATGTTTTTAAGAATTCATGTGTGAAATTACCCTGGTCTGGTACCCTTTTCAGGAGTGGCTATTAGATGTCCCACTGATTGCCATCTACGGCTCATCATCTATTCAGACTAATACAATGGTCTCTGGCACATATTAGCTGTTAAAATAAATCTAGTAGTAACAGTAGTAGTACTAGTAGTCATATAGTTTTATGACTGAGAATTGAACTCAAGATGTTCCACAAGCTAGGTACTGGTTCTACAACTCAAAATATACCCAGGTCTCCAAATCTACTTAAAATCTAAGTACTGAAAATTCATTCAGAATACTCTGCAGCAATTAGGCTAAGATGCTCTTTAGCCTTGCCAAAAGCTCTGACTGAAAAAATACTTCAGCAGAGTGTGGTGATGCACTTCTTTAATTCCAGTTCTTTCAAGATAGAAGTAGACAGACAGACCTCTGTGATTTCAAATTCAGGCTAGTCTACACACTGAGTTCCAAGCCAGGGAAAGAAGTAGGCCCTTTCTCAGAATGAATGAATGAATGAATGAATAAATATTTTATTACTGAGAGGAACATGTATATATTGTAAGAAACAATTTTTTTTTATTAAAGATTGCATCATCTAGACTTCAGTCACATATACAACTTACTCCTCATTAAATCAGGAAATCAGATCAAAGAAATGAGTCTTGTTGACTTCTGTCAACCATAAAATGAAGAAGCTATACATAACACATTATAACTAGTCACAGCAAGAGTGAAGATCAAAGGAAAACACAGAAACAAAAAGACGAGAAAGAAGCTGTTCTATCATCTGCACTGTCCCACCTCTATCAGAACACTAGACAATGGAACAAATCAAAAGTATCCTAAGAAATTATGAAACGTGTACCTGAGTGATGGAGGAAGGTCATTGGTTAAATAAAAAGAAACTGCTTGGTCCTCATTGGTTAGAAGATAGGTGGGAGGAGTAAACAGAACAGAACAGAACGCTGGGAGGAAGAGGAAGTGAGCTCAGACTCCACAGCTCTCCTCTCTGGAGCAGATGCCTCAGAGAGACGCTATGCTCCGCTCTCCCGGGCAGACGCGATGAAGCAAGCCGCCAGGTTAGACATGCTGAATCTTTCCCGGTAAGACCGGTGCTCACAGCTTATTAGAGATGGGTTGATCGGGATGTGAGAATTAGCCTGTAAGGGTTAGAGCTAAAGGGCCAAGCAGTGTTTAAATGAATACAGTTTCCGTGTAATTATTTTGGGGCATAAGCTAGCCGAGCAGGCGGCCGGGGTGCTGGGGATGCAGCCCCGCCGCTCATATTACTACACCTGAGTTTTCCCAAAGTTATACTCACGCATCATAATCTTGAATTACCAATCCCACAGACCAGATGGCAGTCAGATACTCATTGACACCATTAGGGCTGATGTAGTGCAGGGAATCTGAAGAACTGGGGTCACCATTGGAGCCGGTGAAGTCCACTCCCACCTGCCAAGACAACAATTCTTACTAAAGAGGGGCAGGGCTACCTGAGCTAGAGGTACAAGAAAACTGCAGAGATAAGGCCCCAAACTATCCCAGAACATATACTGTCATCTCCTAACAAATTCTCACAGCATTTACACAAACAAGTGAACAGGCCTCATCATGAAAACAACCTGTTCTTTTTTTTGTAGATTGAAGAATCATGAATCATCGCATGCAATGACCCATATTTAGGGACTGTTTTTGCATGTCTGTTTTCTATTCCTTAAATTATTACAGGATAACCACTGGTTTGTGAATATCTGCTTTCTCTAGAGAGGGAGAGATTATTCATCAACTCACCAACTAAGTCAAACATTCATGATGACCCTAGATGGTCTATGAGGAAAGCATGTTAAACAGATTATGTAAATTCCATAACAAAGGCAGCTTGGCAGTAAAAGAACGCTGCAATACGGGGTGGGGAGGCAATATCTAACAAATTTGCTAGAAAACTCAGTTTTACTTACAGTAAAATTCAGCTGGCACCCTCCCATGATGTAGTCAAGAAATGTGCATTCTACAGTAATCTAGAAACCAAAACACATGTATGTTAAAGCCGAACTCAATCAGTGGTGGTGCACACCCTTAATCCCAGCACTTGTGAGGCAGAAGTCGGCAGTCATCTGAGTCTGAGGCCAGCCTGGTCTACAAAGCAAGTCTAGGACCGTCATGGCTACGACAAGAAACCCTGTCCCAAGAAGCCAAAGAAAAATAACTAGAACTCTCCGACTACACAAGAGAAACAAAAGGTTCCTTGATATATGCATTTCAGAGTTTGTAAGCTGAACAGGACTTGACGCAAATATGTGAAATCAACCTCACATCTGAGCATATGGAACTCCTCCCTCAAGTGTCAGGACTTATAAAGACTTTGGTACAATTTAAGCACAGCAGTATTAAGGTTAACATATCAGGGGAAGGGCTCATGATGTCAGGCCCCTCCTGAGAATTCACAAGCTGTTATTAATTGCTGATGGAGCGAGAGGCAGTTTCTTCAGGTGTCACCACTGGTATGTTACTCACATTTCTGTAAATAACCCTAATTAAACTCACTGAGTTACACACAAGGGAGGGAGTTGTGAAAGTAAAAGAGACTAGTTGGGAGGACAAGAGAGGGTAATGGGGCAAGGTAAATATGAGCAAATTGCATTATATACATTTGGAGAATGTCATAAAAACCCATCATGGTTAACCAATATATGCAAATAAAAAAGGTGCAGCTGCAGAGTGCTTAGTTGTGGAGCTAACCACTGGGCAAAGCTACAAGAGTCCTATCAAAGAGAGGGAGGGGCAATAACATGAGCAAAGGGGCAAGACCAGGATGGGGAAACCACAGAAAAAGCTGACCTGACTAGTGGGAGCTAAATAACTCCAGACACACAACCTGGAAACCTGCATAAGACCAATCTAGCCCCCTAAAAGAAGGTGACAGTAGGTAGCTTGGACAGTTGGTTGGGGTCGCTGGCAGTGGGACCAGAAAGAATCCCTAATGAGTGATCTGGCTTTCTGGAGCCAATTTCCTATGAAGAGAAACCTTGCTTTGCCTAGACACGAGAGGGAGGGCCTTGGTCCTGCCTCATTGTGCTGATGTGAAAGAATTCATTGACTCTTCATGGGAAGCCTTACCCTCTCTGAGGAGCAGATGGGGGTGAGGGGAAGTAGAGGGAGCAGGAGGGGAGGGAGGGGAAACTGGGATTAGTATGTAAAAGAAATAAAATACAAAATAATTCACACTGTGACTAAAAGCAAAAAATTAGAATATCAATGGCAAAAGAAGAAATGTAGTCACTGTATTATATAATAAGTCCAATATACTAAAAATTAAAAAAAAACATTTAGTAATAAAGCTTTAAGAGCATTAAAAACAAAAACAAAATATCCGAGCCAGATGGTGGTGGTGCACGCCTTTAATCCCAGCACTCGGGAGGCAGAAACAGGAGGATCTATCTCTGTGAGTTTGAGGCCACTATAAGAGCTAGTTCCAGGACAGCTAGGGCAAAGAAGAAACCCTGTCTCGAAAAACCAAACTAAAACGAAAGAAAACAAACAAAAATATCCTTTCAGTGGGTAAAACTTGGCTTTCCCCCACCATTTATGACAGCTTATGAAGAAATTATATCCAGGATAGATACACTAGGTCAGGCCATTTCCAATCTCACATTTCCTAAGATAGTAGAACACCTACATTATTTATTCTTTGCTAAAACGTTACCAATGGGCCGGTGCTGAAGAGCACCTGCTCTTCTTGCAGAGGACATGGGTTAGTTCCCAGCACCCACACAGAGGCTCACAACTGTCTGTAATTCTAGATCCCGAATACCTAACACCCTCTTCTGGCTCCACAGATCACTGCACACATGCACATACACCTCACACATAGTACATATACCTACATGCAGGCAAAACACTGATTCATACACACACACACAAAGTTGTCAAACCTTAGAAGCACAGTTACTAGAAAGATTTCTTTATTATTTCTAATCCTATTCTTTCCCCGAAGATGATCGCAAGCTCATGTAATTTCCAGCGTTTACAGTAAGGATTTGTTTGATATGAAACCACACTGGCACAAGAACTCGGAAAGCGAAGTAGTCAAGGACAACTAACCTCACAGTGCTTTACACTGATCACACCTGAATTCTTGTAGCTTTTTTTCTTCTGTCTCTTTTTTTCATTTATGCATTCATATTCAACCTGTAAGAGGAGAAAATGAAATAAAATTTTCACTCGCAATAGCCAAATTACTAAAATGAATTTCACTAAACCTTTTCCCTAAAAATCAAATCTTAAAAGAAAAAGGAAAGAAACTGAATTTTAATCTTGTTAGCAACACAAAACAAAAACATGCTTAGGAAAAAAATGAACAGAATAAAACAGAAATACATGAAGCCCAATCCTGTGACCACAAGAAATTGAACTTCTAATATAAATATACACTTGACAAGAATGGCAGTCTCATGTGCATGAATCTTGAACCTAAGGTATTTCCTTACCAAAAGATACACTCCTCACAGCCTGTGCTGGGCTTCTGTTGTCTGTGGAGGTGTAACAGGCCCCCAGACCTTAGCACCACTGATTCCACGATAGAAGTACCATTTAGGCCATAAAACTTAGCAAACAGACAGCACCACCATCCAAAATGAAAACAAAGACCTCATTCATCTAAGTCCATAGTTTTGGGAAAGTCTCTAAATATACTACCTTGCTTTTGGCTTCTGCAGTTCTGCTTCTGACTCACCGCCCTTGTTTACTGGAGTATGTCAACCCTGAACATGGCTTTTGTACTTAAAAGCTCACCCTAAGAAAGGGTCAGTGCCACTTGGATCTCAAACACCCAGTGTAGTCACGGGTCTGCTAAACAATATTTTCTATTGGTTTAAATTCATGTCTGAGTAGTTTTAGCTGGTGGATACCCCACAACAAAAACCTTTCCAGGTTTCAAAATCAATGACTATTCCCCAGTTTACCTAAACTTGCACATCAGTGATTCTTGGGCTTCTCCCTAATTTTCAGTATTTTATACTCTGCAGAGAGGGGTGAAGTTCTTCTATGGAAGAACAGGAAGGGTACACATAAAGATCACAGGACATCTGTCTGGCTTAGCCAGCCATGGGGACTCACACCTACCACTGAAGCTGGTCGTGCACTGTCTTTCCTATGCAGGCATAGCATTGTTTTGCCCAGTACCAGACTATAATGTTTTCCCTTCCAAGCTACTTCCATTCCCAGAGATACACACTGTAATAGTCTGCTTTCTTCCCTGTAGTCTGCAGTGCTCACCTAGCGCTGGCCACCAGTATATAGTCTCCACTCAGTAAGACACATGCCTCATATATGAATTTGGGATGACTACTAAACAAAATTTAAAAATTTTAAGGCTTAATGCAATATAAAATAGAAACATGATAAACTAATTGCTAAGCTAAAGAAAATATAAAATAATAAACAGGTAAACTGCAGTGCTTACATAATTGCAAAAATGTAACTTACAGGTGAGTTTCGGGAGGCTTCTTTGAGTTTTGTCATCGTGGTCTGAAATGTTCCAATAAGGTCATGTGATCCATCATTGTCATAATCATAACACTCTACCTGGAATTAAATATAATAAAATATATATTAATCGGCATAATTTTATTAAAAAGTATTGGCTGCAATAAATGTGCCATTTTAATTAAAATAAGGGGAAACCCCTTAATATCAATGTCTAACTGGAGGAACAGGCAGAAACTATCAAGAGTGGTGCTGAAGCATGTTAAAACCAGAGCTATCCAGAGAAAAGGACCCAGACAATGACAGATGAAATCCACAAACACAGACTCCATTTCACACAGGAAGCAGTCACCAGTTCCTCTACTGTACTCTCTGTGGATGCTGGTAGAAGGCTAAGTGCAATTATGTCTAGTCGTTCATTTGCTTTACTTAATTATCACTGTGTAGGAGCTAGAAGCCAGTATCCTAGCAGCTAAAAAATGACACAACTAAATCCTAGATAATTTAGAGTTACAGGAAATATGCCTGATCAGCTGCAAACCATGGCGGCTGGGTTTGTAATTACAAGTTAGACATGATAGTCAGATTTAGTCTGAAGATTGGAAATCTTACAACACAAAGGAAAACTCTAGCAAAGAGAACAGTCAATTCACTGAAGTATCCATGCTAGGGCACACTCACTTGATTCCCATGTAAGGAGAAGAGAAAGTAGAGTTCTAGAGTTCTAGCCTTAGATGTGAATCCTACTAAATGCACATACTTCTCCCTCCTTCCTCCCTTCTCTCCTTTCCTCTCTGTCTGTCTCAGGAAAAAAAGAAAAAAGAAAACATTTATTTGCTCCTAGTAGGGTTTTTGTTTGCTTGTTCTGTATATGTTAGCTGGCAGATGGAAGAAAAAGTAAATATTCACTAGAATGCTAGAACATGGGAAAATAAGGTGCTGTGTTCAAGACAAGCTGTATTCAGGGTAAGCTGAAAATCAATTACAGGGTTGTAAATTTCTAATAAAATTTCAACACATCAATTCATTTACATGGAAATTTAATGTCTACACAGTGTGCATTCTCTAGACAGACCTAAGAGTTATACAGAGATGCTGTTCAATTATTCCCATTTTTTAGAAATGGAACTTGAAGGAATTAAGTACAAAGCCAACAGATGTATCCTGTGTGGTGAGCAACAGGGACAAAGTAAAATCTTTTTTACACAGGAGACTGTGCTTCAAAGCAGAAGCTTCTAACAAGAAGCATCTGCATCTCCTTGGTGAGAGATCCACCAGGCTTCCAGCTTCATGAAGTTGCAGTGAGTCACCAAGGTACATGCTCATCTGGCAGAATGATGGTTTTCTTCTCAGTTCTACACACTGACTGCTTTTCATAACTGGATGTCTTAGGGTTTCTACTAGGACCAAGATCCATGTGGGGAGAGAAAGGTTTATTTCACTTCCACATCACTGTTCATCATCAAAAGAAGTCAGGACAGGAACTCAAACAAGGCAGGAACCGGGAGGCAGGAGCTGATGCAGACAGAGGCCATGGAAGGGAACTCTTTACTGGCTTGCTCCTCATGGCTTGCTCAGCCTGTTTTCTTATGGAACCCAGGACCAGCTGCCCACGGGTGGCACCATCCACAGTGAGCTGAGTCCTTCCACATCACTCATCAATCAAGAAAAGGCACCACAGTCTTGCCCACAGGCCAATCTGGTATAGGCATTTTTCTCAAATGAGATCTCCTCTTTCAAACGACTCTAGTGTGTCTCAAGCTGACATAAGACTAGTCAGTACACTGGAAGTCTTCCACTCATTACTCGTATTTTCATTATCCTTCAGATAGACTTAAAATCGATCAATCTCAATCAAAACAGTCACATTCTAGAATTGCAAAGTGCTTTGTTTAAGGAGATAGTCTATAGATATTTTTACCCATGACTAAGTCTGACAGTTTGACTCCTGCCTGCCCTACATATTCAATACCTAATTTTATTTATTTATTTTCTTTTTTCTTTTTGGTTTTTGAGACAGGGTTTCTCTGTAGCTTTGGAGCCTGTCCTGGAACTAGCTCTTGTAAACCAGGCTGGCCTCGAGAACTCACAGAGATCCACCTGTCTCTGCCTTCTGAGTGTTGGGATTAAAGTGTGCCACCACTGCCCTGCTTCAATACCCAATTTTAAATCATTGGCCTTTATCTGACTAACATTGTCAAGGGAAAAAATAAATAATTGATTTTTTTTTCTTAAAGGAAGCAAAGTCTCAAGAAAGCAGAAAACAATTATCTTTATGCTTGAATGAGATCACTTTTAGCAGACTGTTTTTTTCTTGGGGGGAGGGGAGATCGAGATAGGGTTCCTCTGGAGCCTGTCCTGGAACTTGTTCTGTAGACCAGGCTGGCCTTGAACTCACAGAGATCTGTCGATCTCTGCCTCAGAGTGCTGGGATTAAAGGCATGTGCCACCACCCACCAACTAGCAGACATTCTTAAACTACAGCAAAATAAAATTTTACATTTTAGATTCCATGGAAAGAACATCGATTTACATATGAGTCAAATAGAACTTCAATATGATAAGATTTAATTAGACTTTAGTAAGGGCTAAAATGTTTTTTAGAAGTTTAGACCAATTAAAACTTTAAGAAGCAAAAACTACATCTTTACCCTCTGAGTTCTGATTCCTCACTACAGGAACTAAGGCAGACATAACATCTCCAGTGCAGGATGTGCAGACAAGGCTGAGGCAGGATGAGTCCCACCAGTTCTCTTCCTTTTCGAGAATTTAAACACTATTCACTACTGAAGCAATAGTATCTGAAGAACTTGTGAAATTTAAATGTCTGCATATATACATAGGAGTGTATATATATATATATATATATATATATATATATATATATATATATGCAAAAACTGCACACACCACTTCAGGCAAGGTGGCAGCATGCACAATTGTTTCTCTCATTTTCTGAAAACAATGCATGCTAGATGACAACACAGCGATGGACCACAGAAGATTCCAACTTTATTCTCTGCTCTGCAGTTCTTCACCAGACCTTTAAGGAACGTCCAAACAGTGCGTAAACTGTACATGCGACCTGTCTGATACTGCAGAGAACACAGAGCTAGAGAAATAAAGGGAGTGATGATGTGGAGAACCAAGTGAGTTTAACTAACAGCAAACTAAGAGACTTAAGAATGGAGACATTTATCATATGAATCACAGAAAATCATTTACTTACTATAACAAATTGGCCCTGCAAGCATGCCACTGTGAGCAAAAGAATGTTTTAGAGACACGATTTTGTTGTTAATTTGTCAGAAACAATCAAATAGGTGTGGTATAGACTTCTGTCCTCTCTAGATTTGTCTTTAAATTAGAATTTGTAGCTACTCAGTAACATTTATATAATTCACAGTATATTTATATATTTATGCCATACCTGTATTGACATATACACTGTTCTTTGACATGTCACTGTTCTTTGACATATACAAATCACACTTAACAATAACTTTTTAAAATCTCTCATAAGCTAGGGACAACTCCCTCTGAAGCTCAGAAAAATAACGGCAGCAACTCTGCTGTGCTTTTACCTTTTACAATGTTTTCATATTCTATCTTTACCCTCTTGTAGAGTAGAAATTATACTTTATTAGCAAGGGGTTAGGTGACCTGCTTAACATCCTTTACCTGGTTAAAGAGATAAATAAAGATGTCAGCTGTGGTCTGACTCCAAATCATGCTGTTATGTTAGGTTATGTTGTTTCCTATCGTCTTTCCTGTTTTTACTGTATTAATTGCAATAAAAAAAATACCTTCATCTATTGAGGTGTAAGGGTAAGAAGGTTTTTTAGAAGGACTTATGTTAAGGCAGACTCAGCGTCGAGGAGACAGCTCAGGAGAACCTGAGTTTGATCCTCAGACAGAACTCACCTACCTATAAAAAGGAGAGTGCGTTGGTGTTTTACACACACACACACACACACACACACACACAAACACAGAGTGTTTGAAGTTTGTGTGTGTTCACTGGCTGGTTGCTTGGGGTTTGGCTTTGTTTGGTAAATACCTACAAATAAAATATTTAAAATAACTGTGGAGATGTGATCTGCTTTTCTTTGTCCCTACAATTCCTCCTCTGTTTTTCTGCATAACAATAGGAAGGCTCTGAGATCTCAAAATAACTAATATCTACTATGATTTTCAAAGGATACACTGTAGGCAAAGAACATAGTCAATGCTTCATATTTGCTAAGCAAAAGAATTTCATTATAAAGAAGACTTAAAATTTGTTAAAATAAAAATAATGCTGCACCCTTAAGTATTAAGCCAACATATTGGACAACAATATAGTCAAATGCATATGCCTGTAATATCATTTATTTAACAAAATGCTACCTTACATATTAACTTTAGAAGGCAGGTAAAAATGTGTTCATCTATAGTAGGTATACACAGTGTCTGAGTTGTTGTAGTGTCCTTGGGTTTTGACTTGACAATGGTGTTAAAGGTGACATCATTCAGTAGATACTGCATGAGTTTTGAATTTTAATCTTTTCTGTGCTAGTAACATGTGATGATTTTCTTGTAACATTGGGCAGTGGCAGCAAGCCAAACTTGCCAGTCAGCATAGGAGCACCATGGTAAATACCAACACTTAACAGTGTACTGGGTGGGTGTAATTTGGTAACTTAGGTGTATTAAATGCATTTTAACATCATTTCTTCCCTCCCACACTCCCTTTTCCTCCCTTCTTTCCTTTCTATCCCTCTCCCCTCAAATAAACACAAGGCCTCAAGATCACTAAGCAATGTTCTAAACAAGCTACACCTCTCGTCTAATTTACAAGGATTTGCATTTATAATGTGTTTACCAGCACGTAATCCCATAGCAAACTACAGAACACCTGAGTAGTAATTTCAAATTACCTTAATGGTTTTGTCCATATCTCCATAGCACAGAGAGTTAAGAGAGATTTTAAAAGGCTTCCACACAGGATTCAGGTTGTTTTTTATGACCTGTAAAGATTAAAGGCTCCATTAGAACACGCAGTTCATCAGTATCTTTCTCTCACCTTTCCTGGGTTCCTGTGACACTCTTACCACTCATCCCCATTCTATCACTCAACAATTTCAAAAAAAAGTAGGATTACATTTTATAATCATTATATGGTAAGTATAATAAATTGTCCAACTGTAGTACATTCTGAGTAAAGAAGAAAGGTGTTTGAGAAATATATCTACCTAAATAACAATGTAAACTTAAAAATGGTACTTGTGGATTTTTTTTGAAACCAGGCATTTCACCATAGTCCCAGAGGATCAAAAAAATAGAGCAAGATAATGGTGAACTTTGTGGGACCTGGGGAAATAGCTCTGCAGTTAAAAGCAGTGGACCCAGGTTTGATTCCCAGCACCAACATAGTGGCTCACAACCATCTGTCACTCCTATACTAAGGCATCCAATGCCCTCTTCTGGCCTTCATGGGTAACTACATGAACAAGGTATACGGGCATACATGCAAGTAAAACACCAATATACACTTAAAAAATTAAAAACATAAATCTTGATGTGTTGAACATGAATTGGAAAATTAAATTTAGATTCTGAATGTTTAAATTGCAATATTATATATTACGTAGACATACAAATTTATTCTTATTTTGACCATTGAAAAAGGCTGAAAGCTACAACGTCCTAGGATAGATCCAGCACTCAGACTCGATTTCTACTGCATATGGTAAGAACTGGCCCCTTCTAACTCAGACAGAATAAAATATAAACCCTATCGATGCTGGAAAAAACCCAGGATGCATCTGCATCCCTCATCAAATCTGGATTTAAGTAGTACAAATATTAATGTATGATGACGATTTGTGAGTTTACAATGATAAAGACGAATATGTGGTAATGCAGGTATATAGACTGCAGTGGTTTATACAAGATTTCTCCCACAGCCAAGGACATTTGAAAATGTATTTTCCTATTGGTTCTACTGTTTAGGCAGGTTTAGGAATGTGACTTTGCTAGAGAAGTATGCACACTGGAAGCAGGCTTTAATATTTCAAAGACACACAACGTTGCCAATTCACTCTCTCTACTTCCTGCTTGAGGTTCAGATGTAGGCTCTTAGCTTCCAGCTCCAGTGCCCAAGCCTCCGCTCTTCCATGATGAACTCTCTCCTTTCCATCTGAAACTGTAAACCCAGAGAAACCCTTCCTCCAATGAGCTGCCTTCATCATGTGTTTTATCACAGCACTGGAAGAGTAACTAATACAGTGGTGATATGAGGAAAACAAAAATTACTATTGTGTAGCCCCAATGGAATTGGTTAAAGAGCAAGGATCATCAATGGTGCCTGAAACCACAGGGCAAAATGCTAGAGAAAATTAATCTCCACAAATAACTTATAAATGGAAAACATAGAACTTTTATGATTCTCAGAGCTTATGGTCACCATCTTAAACAAACTGCCTGACATCATCAGTTAAACACCATGAAAATTGAACATATGGAACATTCTTGACATAATGTTTGATGTGGATCTAGTTGTGAGAAAAAACACAAGAATCCACGCTACTCTCAGTAATTCAAGCTGTACTATGGCATGAAAGTATAGGCAGGTAAAAATAAGCTTATAACTGGCAGCCAATTGGAAAATGTAAAATCTGAGCCTACCCTTGAACCTAGACAAGACACATCTATATAAAATGTGCTTCTGGACTGAGCTCCCAAGGTCCCAAGGAGGAGCAGAAGGAGGGAGAACATGAGCAAAGAATTCGGGACCACGAGGCGTGCATCCACCCACTGAGACAGTGGAGCTGATCTACGGGGAGCTCACCAAGGCCAGCTGGACTGTGACTGAAAAAGCATGGGATAAAACCGGACTCTCTGAACATGGCGAACAATGAGGGCTGATGAGACACCAAGGACAATGGCAGGGGGTTTTGATCCTATTTAATGTGCTGGCTTTGTGGGAGCCTAGCCAGTTTGGATGTTCACCTTCCTAGATATGGACGGAGGGGGGAGGACCTAGGACTTACCACAGGGCAGGGAACCCGGACTGCTCTGTGAACTGGAGGGGGGGGGGGGAAGGAGTGGGGGGAGGGGGAGAAGGGTGGGAGGAGGGGGAGAAGGGTGGGAGGAGGGGAAGGGAAATGGGAGGCTGGGAGGAGGTGGAAACTTGTTTTTTGTTTATGTTTTTTTTTCTTCTTTTCGCAATAAAAAAAAATTAAAAAAAAATAAATAAAATGTGCTTGACACTGAGGAAATCTAAGCATGAATGGCACTCAGAATTGCATTAGTAAATCAATGGCAATTTCCTTAGGTTCAGTGACATAGCATGCCCTTATTCTTTTGAGGCAAGGTCTCACTATGTAGGCCTGGCTGGCCTGGAAGTTAATTTGTAGACAAAGGTAGTTCATAGGGATCTGTGTGCCTCCAGAGTACTGAGATTAAAAGTGTGTATCCTCACTCCTGGTTGCCTTTACTTCTGAAAGTACCTATGTAACATTTAAAGGGAACTGAGATGCTTGTAGTTTACATCAGGATGACTTCCCAAAAGAGAAATAAATTGTTTAAGTGTGAGCGTGAGTATGAGATAGAGAAAACAAGCAAGAACACATTTAGTATTCTTAAAACAATTTAAAGTTTTCCAAAAATGAAAATAAGCATGGCAGTGTGTCTTTTTTAAGAAAAAAGAGTAAGCAAATGAGTATACTGATGTATCTCTGGTTGCATATATACTTGAATTAAAATGAATATTATCCCTGAGTTTGAGGCCAACCTGGTGTACACTGTAAGTTCCAGAACAGGCAAGGTTATGTGGAAAGACCATGTTCCAAATTTAAAAAAACATACATATATACACACACACACACATATATATATAGAGAGAGAAGAGGGTTAAAATTCTTACTATAATAATGTCAAAGAAAACAACTATTCTACTTTTAGAATTCAAGTACTTACCTCTGTTCGGTGAACCATCAGCCAGTGGCCATCTGATGTCTGTTTGTGAAACTCCAAGTATGGATCTGACTTTCCAAACAGATCCTATATTTAAACAAACAGTTTTCACTCTCTTATTAAACCCTGTGTGAACACACCTTATACCTTATACGTGATTCACAGGTCCAACTCCATAATGCAGATATACTGGTTGCAAATATCAATCCCAACATCTCTAATGCTAACTAAAAAATGTGTAGAAATATACTAGGGATGAATATTAAGGCATTTGTGACGAATAATCCTGCATATAAAAAACATGGTACTTTAAAATATGTTGATAAAATGTGTTTTTGCTTAATGTCAGCACTTTAAGTTTCTATTCACATAGTATTAAACACAAAAATATACCCCAAACATTAATCATATCAACTCTCTGACAGACAGGGCAGTTAGCCATGGGAAGGGAGACTAGAAGGTCTTAATACCCTTTCCAGGGTCACATACTTTATTAAGCGATAGATTTGGGCTTTAACTTTGTATCTCTTCCTTCCATATCTGACTCCCTTTCATCAATTCTAACCAAATCTTTTTCTTCCCACAAAGGAGCAGAGGTAGATACAGAGAATACAGCAGAAATCAAAAGCACAAACTGCATCTTCTCGACCTCTATACCACACCACAGTATTCCTCTACAAGGCTTAGGCACAGTGAGGTCTCTAAAGTGTTTATTCCTTGTCTTCATCACACGCAGATAAAATACTGTCATGATGTATAATCTACTTCATACAGTTAAATCCAGCCATATGCTGATCTTCTGCTTATCTTCATTTTGAAACATACATATTGCTATGTATGTATGTATTGAAACATACATATTATTTAGTGTTTTTAAAAATAGATGGCACTTCTTAATACCTCAAGTAATACATATAGATTTATCACTGTACTGAAGGTTTATTTAGTCTTGAACCAGCCTTAGTATTTAATTAAGGCCTAAGTTAAAGTTGGAAAGATTGCTCAGTCGTTAAGAACACCTGCAGCTCTTTTAGACGTCCCTGGTTCAGTTCCCAGCACCCACATCAGGCAGCTCTAACGACTGATAACTTCAGTTCCAGGGATCCAACTCCCTATTCTTCATCTGTGGGTACCAGGAATAAACAAGGTGCACAAACACATATGTAGGCACTCAAGATGTACACATAAATAAAAACAAAATAAAATCTTTTTATTTAAAGACTTATGATAGAACTATTTCTCTTTTGAGCAAGTTTAATGTCAAACAAATAACATATTTGGTACAGTGAAAAATAATACAACTAGTTTTTTAACCTTATCTCTAAGAATCTTAAGTCAATGAAAGAAATTTTTTGTGCTCTTATTTTCTACAACTGATAAAAGTCTTAACATGTAAGTTAACTTTAAAAAGAACACATTACATGCTTTGTGACTTATATAAAAAATAATCCCATGGGAAAGGCAAAGCATGCATTCTTAATAGATAGCATTTTGAAGGTCAAAAAGCAGTTCTTGTTTAAAGTTCATTAACTTGTCCATATTAATACTAATGCAAAAGGTAAAGATTCTTGACTGACACCTAGGATATGGTAAAGTAAAAAAATGGGATGAAAGAAGCATGTGTCAAACACAGTCCAAGAATGGAGACAAGCGAGGGAATTCTGAGTGCTTGTGAGAAAGCTCCAAGAAAACAAAACAAGAGTCCTGTGACCTCAGTTTCTTCAAAAACACAGAATTGTTCTTGGAATGTGTTTTTGTACTCCTCCCAGGTAGAGCAGATAAAAGTGAGTTGACTTCAGGTGTTGTTATTCATATGAGTTTATGGAAAAACATGTTTTTGCTACATGTGGCTTGTCCTTATGATTGAAAGCCTTACTTACATGATTTTTCTTAAGTCTCAGAGTATAAATAGTCTGATGCTCTGAATAATGTTGGTTTTTGAATTTTTTCTGCCTCATTTTTAAGTCCTACTCTCTCAGGTTCACACCGCCAACTGGAGCAGTAAATAGTATGTACCTCCTGAACTAGATTACTTAAGGGCTAGGAGTAGACAACATAAATATAAGCCCAAACACAATTATGCAAATATATAGAGAATATGGACAAACATACAAGTACACGTATGTGCAAACTCCTATGTGTATAGGTATGTTCACATATGTATAAGTTTGTGCACATTATGTATGTATGTGCACATACACATATGTAAAATCTTAGTGCTTATGAAGGTAAAGTCGCAAAATATAAACGTTTGAAAATATTGTTTATAGGAAAACCAAGAACAGAGCAAAACAGAAAGATTTAGAAAGAGAAACTAAATCTCTTGGGTATACTTTGTTTTACAGATTTAGTTTGAAATCACAGGACTTTAGAGACAGGTGTTACCTGCTTCCTGAGTGTCAAGTCTACAAGTATTGTGCCACACTTGATTAAATTACAGTGTAACGATTCTCTCTCTGTGTGTATGTGGTGATGAAGACTATACCAGAGCTATAACAGACCAGGCAAACATTCCACCACTGAACCATACCCCAATTTTTACATGATTTTAAATCAAAGCTTTTTTAAAGCAATCCCTAATAATAAGTACAAAATGAAATTGTATGTCACTGTGATAGAGATTAATTATTTCATTAAAATGTAAGAATTTAACTCCACCTGAGTGGAATACATATCCCTCAGCTCACACTATAGTTCAAGAACTGTTACTTATAACATTGATACTTTGTTCTGAAATAAGTAGTAAGTAAAAACAATATGTGATTGTGTTAATATCATTAAGAATTATGATTTTTAGCATAAGAGAAAAGAGGTAGAATAACAAGAGAAGTAAATCCCTGTGAGTGTGTATATGAACTGTAAATATTTGTGTAAATTATGATTTAGTTCTTTTTATTTTTGAGATCAGGCCTAACTACATAGTCAAACTGGTCTCAAACTCAGAGCCTCCTGCCTCAGCTATCTGAGTGCTGGTTTTACTCAAAACAAAAAAATTGCCAGGCATCAGGCATACTAGCACATGCTTTTAAACTCAGCACTTGGGAGGCAGAGTCAGGAAGAGTTCTGTGAGTTTGAGGCCAGCCTGGTTTACATAGTGAGTTCCTGGATGACATAAAGAGACCCTGCATCGAAACAAATAAAGAAACAAACAACTTTCCTATCAGGCATGGTGGCTCACAGCTATAATCTCAGTTCTTGGGAGAAAGAAGCAGGAGGACTGTCATGAGTTTGAAGTAAATAAATAAAAAAAAAAAGAGCTAGAAAAATTTAAAAACCAGTGGGGACGGGGAGCTGGAGACAAAATGGCTGAACAGTTAGGACACTTGCTGTGCAGCCACAGACCAGAGTTAGGATCCCAGCATACAAGTCAGGCCTCACAGATTGCAACTCTAGATCTGAGGGATCCAATGCCACATGTGCACAGACAGGCTGATAAATTCACACACCCACACACAATTAACCTTAGATACTTTCTCCACAAAACTAATCTTTAATTTCTCTGGATCTGTATACTAAAAGAGTCTAGAAACAAACCATGAGTGACAGTAATAGCAAATGGTAAGAGCCCCTCTTCCCCAGCGTGGTCCCAAATGCACAACCACTAAAAGGAGACCAGGCTCCTTTTAAAGTCCCAGTCTGGAGCAAAATTTATATAAAATTAACTTTGAATACCATGTCACCTGATGGATAAGGGGACTATCTACAGATTCTTCTTGGCTGAGAGTGGGATAATTTGAATATCAACCAAAATTCTCTTGTTGTAGTTAGCAATTATTAATGGTTAAATCTATGAGTTTGTAGTTACTTAAAGAATAAAATAAAACAACAAAATTAGCAGTCATATCTGGAGGATGCTAGGGAACCAACTTATTCAGGAAAAAAGATGTATACAAAAGATATCAAATGTTTTGTCTTTCCTGTATAGAACATACTTCAATGATAAATAATCAACAGACAAATACTGGGGCTGGATAGATGGTTCAGCGCTTAAGTGTACTTGTTATCCTTACAGAGGACCCAGGTTCAATTTCCAGCACCCATGTGACTCACAACCACTCATAACTCCAGTTCCTGGGGGAACTGAACATCTCTTCGAATCACCTCAGGCTTCATGCACACACAGTGCACACACATACACATAGGGAAAAAAACATACATGCATAAAATAAAATAAACAAATCTCATAACACACCACTCAAGTGAGAGAGAGAGAGAGAGAGAGAGAGAAAGAGAGAAAGAGAGAGAGAGAGAGAAGTATTTACTTTGGGGAAATGTCTCTCTATAGAAACATTCTTACTAAGAAATGAAGCTCTGGTAGAGTAATACCAATGTTTCGGAGACTTGTAAGATAATATATGCAGGGAGCTATCATCAATAGGCATCAAAATCACCGAAACTTTTAACTCAGTATTAAGCACCTGGTGGAGTGACACATCACAACTGATGAAAATTAGCAATTCAAGATATCATCAGACAAGCTCACTGAAATCAGGAAAGAGAGAATAAACCAAGAGAAATGATGCCACAGGGATTTATTTAGCCCTATGTTGAATGTACAGACTTCTATAGGAAAAAGGAATCTGTTTCCTAAATGGATGGACAGATGAATGGATGTGGGTGGGGAAGGAAGGAAGAAGGAAGTGAGGGACAGAAAGCAAAAAAAGAAAAACATAACAAAGAATTTATAGATCAAAAATTATCTTAACAGATATTTTAAATAATTACACTTTAAAGGGTCTTTATAAACAAACCAAAATATTCCTGCTCAAAATGACATGGTGTCTGGGAGGAGGAACAAATGTTAGGGATAGGATATAGAACATGATATTTGTTGCATGTTTTTTTTTTTTTTTTGTTTTTGTTTTGTTTTTTAAGACAGGGTTTTTCTCTCTGTAGCTCTCTCTGGCTGTACTGGAACTCGCTCTGTAGACCAGGTTGGCCTCAAACTCACATAGATCCGCCTGCCTCTGACTCCTATGTGCTGGAAATAGAGGCAGGCTCACCCGGCTGTTATATGTTAATTTTTAAAGCCCCTGGAAACTGGTCTTAAGACACTTTCACTTTAAATTCTACGATAAACAAAAATGGTAAAGAACTAGCCGGGCTGTGGGGGCACACACCTTTAATCCCAGCACTTGGGAGGCAGAGGCAGGCGGATCTCTGTGAGTTCGAGACCAGCCTGGTCTACAAGAGCTAGTTCCAGGACAGGCTCCAAAACCACAGAGAAACCCTGTCTCGAAAAACCAAAAAAAAAAAAAAAAAAAAAAAAAAAAAAAAAAAAGGTAAAGAACACTGTATACCATGGCATACTCAGTATTGAAATGCAAAAGGATTAACTGATTTATAATTAATATTAATAAGCCACAGGTTTTTTGCTTTCCCCCCAGAGGTTATTAAAATACTTTCTGGAACTTACAGTAACATTAATGCTTATATTCTTTTAATCTTTAAATGCATCTTCATGAAAAAGCTAAAGGGAAATAGGTGCTGTTTAAGCATACCTGGTAGGGGGAGAGGGAGGGAGGATGGGCAGGAGAGAGGGAGGGAGACAGAAAGAAAGAGAGAAGGAAGGACGGGGAGAAAAGGAAAGAGGAGGGAGAAAGGAGAATGCTATGTTCAGATGAACAGTTCATGCTAACTGTATTGTTATCTCAAAAGGGAATCAGTGCTTGGGATAAAAACTTATGTCTTTGCGAAATACACAAAACCTACCTTATTATCCAGTTTTCTGGCTTCCATTTCAAACAATACCACTCTGTTATCCTTAATTTCTTCTGCTGAAATCTACAAGTACATAAGTCATTGAGAGACTGTGAAGCACTCATGAATTAAGTACTTTATTTTTATTTTATTTTACTTTATTTTATTTGCAGTACAGGCGATTGAATCTAGATCACAGCCCAAGTCAGGCAAGCATCTTACCATTGACAGAAGTCTCTTTTTAAATGCAGCTCCTCAGCCAGCATACCTCAGCAGGGCTGAGGTATGCAGATATTATTACAGTGTGTTTGTAAACATACTTTGGATACGGTCAAGAATGTTCAAAAATAAAAGTAATCACCAGTCAGGCAGTGGTGGTGCACGCCTTTAATCCCAGCACTCGGGAGGCAGAGGCAGGTGGATCTCTGTGAGTTTGAGATCAGCCTGGTCTACAAGAGCTAGTTCCAGGACAGTTTCCAAAAAAAAAAAAAACCAGTAATAACCAGACACCCCTCCCCCCCAAAAAAATGTGGTTCTCTAAAACTAAATATTCCATAGAACACAAAACCAACGAAAATTCTGCACACGTTGAGAGGGAAGAATAAATACTTTCTAGAGAACTGTAAACTGGAATATGAGCCTAGCGCTTTCCATTCAGTGTAACTGGAAGAGTCACTCTACCCTAAGTCAGATCCCAGGCTATCTCACCTATCTTGGTTTTCAGCCTCCACTATAGCAAGGTTCAAAAACAGAAAAAAGAAAGGGCTAAGGCTAAGAACGGCCGCTCTCGGTGGAATCCTTAGTAAAAGAGAAGATTTATATGATCTGAAGTGAAACCAGTGTCTTAACTATTGATCTGGAGTTTGACCAAAGTCAACCCTCTCAACAGTCTAAATACTCATGTGCTTCTGGAAATCTAAGAGACACAGCTGCTGAGATAAATGTACTTGACAACTGTAGTTACCATGCTTCCATGTCACAGAACACACCACCATGCCTGGATAAGACTAATTTCAATGGCCATGTTATAACATCCATTTAGAATAAAACCCGTCATGGAAGTTTCGGTCATGGTAGGAGGACCATGTTTCCTTTGCAGAGAGCCGTTTACCAAGACTTTTCTCTCTAACTTATGAACTGACACACTCATGGAAGAAGAGGTGCACCTGACCTTGACGGACAACTTAAAAAAACTGAAGGGAGGAATTCCTACAATTCATTTTTTTCTTCTGTTAACAAGACAGTTTTCACTTCTGGTGACTACTAGGCCAGGGTGACTGAAATTGCAATGTTCAGGATCAACTGGTCAGGCATGGCTATAGATTGTGTGTTATGCATCATCTTATCAGACTTAATAGACGATGTCTTGAAGCAAAAGATTATATTATCTTTACCGTAATACTTCCTTTCCCTGCAGGTCTGCCATTTTTGAGCACCAGTGGTCGAGTTAGCTTCTTACTGGAAACAACCTGTCAAAAACAGAAAGTAATACTTCATCACGTGAGTTGCCATACGCATAACTTAAAAAAAAAAGAAGTTGAATATAAAGTTCACTTAAAGTCATCAGAAAGAGTTACCATTAAAACTACACCCCTTAAAAACATTTAAAATGCATTTCCACATTTAAAACCCATTTGAAAAGATTTAGAAGAGCTTCACTCCGGCAGCTATTATTGCCCTACCCATTAGGTTGTTCACTTATTTCTTACGACTTTAGGGCCTTCCTCAGAATGGAAAAAAAACAGTACATATTTTCATCTTCTACACAAAACACTGGGCTGAAAAACCCCTGAAGGTAAAGGTGGGCCTCAGAATACTCAATAACTGTGATTTAATTTCTCAACTGACACAGAACTTTGATATGCAGCTTCTAGAAAATATCACATTGCTTAAAATGATAAAGTATGTTGAGGCTCTTTGAAACTGTCTCTCAAATTCATTAGATTTTTGGTTATATTGTGATTTTTATTCTGCAATTAATAAATATGCCTCTACTTATCTTTTAAAATACAACTCATAAACAACATAACTGATCAGTTCCATGTTACCCTTGACATATGAGAACTAGTAGGACTGCCGAATGATTCAAACCTAGAAAACAAACCCAGAAAAGCAACTCTGAAGAATAACTGCCACTCGGAGAAAATTAAATAACTCTAATTTCTCTGTGTTTTTCTCAATATATACAAATAATCATCATCTTTCTACATAAATCAGAGATAGGAGCAAAAGGACAAACCACTGTGCTCATAATATACTAAGACATAAAATAAGACAACTAAAGAATAAAATGACCAACGGACAGTGCTAGCCCAGGAAGGGCTCTAAGAAGTCTAAGGTGCCACTGAAGGCTTATGGGGGAAGAGAGTTAAACAGGAAAGGCTCTAAGAAGTCTAAGGTGCCACTGAAGGCTTATGGGGGAAGAGAGTTAAACAGGAAAGGCTCTAAGAAGTCTAAGGTGCCACTGAAGGCTTATGGGGGAAGAGAGTTAAATGACACACGTAAGGTGCTGGGAAGAAGAGAGCAGAGGAAAGGGTAGTAGCAAAGTTACAGTTATGAAGTAGCAACAAAATAATTTTATAGTTGGCAGTCACAACTTGAGGAACTGAATTAAAGGGTCACGGCATTAGGAAGTTTGAGAACCTCGGCTCTAGCTAGAATCTCACTGGAGTTAGCCTGGAAGGTTCAAAAACCTAATGCAACTATTGTCCAAGAGATCTATTATAGACTTACCAACTTTAAAAATTATACTAACAACTTGTGGTAGATTAAATAAGAATGGCCCTCATAGGCTCATATATCTGATACTTTGGCCATTAGGGAGTAATGCTACTTTGACAGAGATTAGGAGGTATGGCCTTGTTGGACTAGGTGTGGTCTTGTGGGAAAAAGTGTGTCACTGGGGGTAAACTTTGGGGGTTTAAATGCTCAAGCCAGGGTGTGTCTCTCTCATCCTGCTGAGTGTGGATCCTGATGTAGAACTCGGGCTACCTCTCCAGCACATCTTCCTGCATGCTGCCATGCTTCCCGTTACGGTGATAATGGACTAAACCTCTGAACTCTAAGCAAGCCCCAATTAAATGTTTCCCTATATAGGAGTTGCTGTGATTACGGTGTCTCTTCACAGCAACAGAACACTGATTAAGACACAATGTTTATCAAAAACACTCAACTCTTTGGTTTAAAATCTACACAAAATAGCTGGGTGTGAAGGTACATACCTGTAATCACAACACTCTGGAGGCAGAGGCTGGAGGCTACCATAAGTTAAAGTCCACACATAGCAAGCATGAGGCCAACCTCTGCTATGTAGAGAGATTTTACAAAAAGTAAAGGTAGCAAAAACTAAATACTCACTTGTCCAAGAGTGACTTCACATTCTCCTAAGAAGTCATCATCACTCAGTTCAATAGTTTTGTTGTCGATGTCATAAATTCCAAATTTCAGTTTCTGAACCACTTCAAAGTAGTAATCAATAATAAATGTCTTAGAAAATTTGGGATTCAAAGAATTCTTAATCCTTTCTGTCCGTTCAACCTGTACTCACCCCAAAAACACAAGAAAAGCTTTTTTTCAGATCCAAGAAGTACTTAGATATTTCAACATCTTTATTTAATAATTATAGTTATACATAAGAATGAAGACCAAAGGAAATTTCTCTTTTTAAAATTCGCGTATGTGCATATGCGTGGGGCATACATTTGCAGAGGTCAGCTGAAAACTGGAGTCAGTTCATACTACCATGTGGATTCTTGGGATCAAACACAAATTGCTTTGTCTGGTCATCTAGCCGTCGGGCCGTATCACTGGCTATTTACCACTTATATTTTGGAAATTTCTCTATGAACATGAGGAATTGTGCCATCAATGACAAATTTGTACAAAAATACACTAACATAAGATGGTGCAGTGCTGTTGCTTGTTGATGTGTAAGGGTTTTTCCTCTGCATTTATATCTGTGCATCACATGGGTGCAGTGCCTGCAAAAGCCAGAAGGGGGTGTCAAATCCTCAAGAATGGAGGTTACAGGTAGTTGAACTACCATGTGGGTGCTGAGAACAGATCCCAGGTCATCTGGAAGATTAGCCTGGGCTCTTAACCGCTAAGTTATCTCCCCAGTTATACAGTATTATTTTTAACATAAAAAACTTTTAACATTGTTTTTCACCTAAGTTATATAATATTACCTCATACCACTGTTGACCACTTGTGCTCAAAAACAGCACACACAAAGGATCCGACTTTGATGTTACATCTTTATCCAAAAGGTTGTCACAGGAAACATTTAGCTCCACCTTCGTGACACATTGGGCAGCCATGTCTTGAGCTGTTGGGAGAACCAATGAGAAACAGTATCTTTAAGAAGCATGCTCACTCTTAATGAGATAGCTGAATTCCTAATGCAAGCCTTCAGCCGGGACTTACTGAGCAGCTCTGCTACAATGGGATTGTAGTTCCAGCCGCCAGAGGATGGGGGTGTTTATTAGTTTAATTCAGTGATAATTTATTCTTCCACTGAGTAAAGCCTGTTTATGACCTAGCAGTAAAACATACCTTTCAATATAGCTACTGATAGGCATTAATCCTCTGCTTACACTATGTACAAAATATAGTGGTGAACTGTTGTGTTATTTAGAGCTGATTCCGATAACAACCTCTCAAACTTAAACATCTTTATCAAGTGTCCCCTGAGACCCTCTCCTGGGACAGGCTGACTCCTCACTCCAGTGACAAGGAGAAATGCTTAAGGGTATTAAATCCATTCCATCCTTACAAACAGCTAGAAAGCAAATCTTACCAACAGCTACTGCATTTATCCTACAATATAAAAAACAAACAAACAAGCAAAAAACGTAGACAAGGATGAGAAGTCACAGATCAAACATGGAGATGTTCTTCCTGAACTTTCAACTGGAGACGCCACCATGACAGGTTCCATTGGCCTTCCCTACTCATTCTAATAGATGTTGTGTATGTCCAGACTGAGGAGGTTCTACTATTTGTCTGTTTCTTCTATCTATGATTTTTTTAATTTAGTTTCAGAAGCTTTATAGATAAGATATACAATAAACTTTTTAAAAAGAATATAAGTGTAATTTTCTGCTGCAAATTTTTTTTGTTTATTTTATTTTTTTTAGTTGTTGCAAAAAAAAAAATTCCCATTTCCCTCCCCCTCCCCCCACTCCCCTCTCCCCCCCCCCCCCACTCCATTCCAGCTCCCTCTCAAGAATGAAGAGCAGTCCAGATTCCCTGCCCTGCGGGAAGTCCAAGGTCCTCCCACTTCTATCCAGGACCAGGAAGGTGAGCATCCAAACAGGCTAGGCTCCCACAAAGCCAGTTTATGTATTAGGATCGAAACCTAGTGCCACTGTCCTTGGCTTCTCATCAGCCTTTTTTGTCCACCACGTTCAGAAAGTCTGGTTTCATCCCATGCTTATTTCTATCTATGTTTTTTAAAGTGCAACTTGGGCATCATCTCTAGATGCCTCCAATGAGAATGCTCCACAAACAACATTCAGCAAACTGAATGGCTTCCCAAGAAATACCAATTAGTCTAACTTTCCCAGCTTTAACCGCCAAATAAAATACATTAAGGTGTTTAATGAGGGTGGGGCAGAGCACTTGATGGGGGCTGGCGTTGAGAAAGTTACGTAGACTGCTTGGTGGCACAAGCTTTTAATCCCAGGACTTGGTAGGCAAAGGCAGACAGATCTCCAAATTCAAGGCCAGCCTGAGTTCCAGAACAGTCAGGGCTCTAAGGAGAGAGACTTTGTCTTGAAAAAAATCCAGGAAAAGGGAGGGTAGGAAAGCCCAGAGTACCAAGGGTGAAGGAAAAGAGAGGGTAGGAAAGTCCTGAGTACCGAGGGTGAAGTGCTTTCCTCCTTGGTTCACAGAGGAACCGGGACTACACTTCCGCACTGGATGTCAACAGAGTCCACTGTGTAGCATAAGGAGTTCACGGTGGTGGTGCAGATTCTGGGCTAGAAAGACACTTCCTCCAACATCCTTTGCATTTGGAGTGCTCAGTGCTCTCTACTTTTGGAATTTAGGTGAGCTGCTACACCAACAGGAGTCAGTCCACTCAGCATCATGTTTAATATGCAGTAACTTTTATGTGCTGTAGAAAATGCCTCATTGAGCACAAGGTAAGAATAAGATCCTCTGACAATTTCAAAACACTCATTAATTACTTTGTGTGTGAATGTTCATGTATGCGTATGCATGTGTGTGTCAGGAAGAATGCATTTGGAGGTCAAAGATCGACGTCAAATGTCTACCTCAACTGCTTATTCTTATTTTTGAAACACTGAACTTTGAGTTCATCAGTTTGGTTTGGCTGGACAGTCAATACGTTCCAGAATTCTGTCTGTCTTTGCCAGCACCCCTGCATAACAGCTAGGGTCACAGACACTTTTTAACATAGGTGATGCAAATTTAGGTTCCCATGCTTGAAAGAAGCAAAGTACTTTATTGAACTGATTGAGAGCCATCTTTCCTGGTACCTTCAATACATATAAAAAAAAAAATCAATACTAGTGCCAATGCCCATTCACCTTCACCTCAGAACTACTTCTTCAGGAATGACAGCTCCCCCAAACCTCCAATTTGCTTCCTATCTTCTCTGCCCAGAGATATTACAATAAAATTAAAACTACAGAAACATTTACAAAATTGTAGTTAGCTCTAATGGTCTGGTTTTATTTCATTTTCTGTCATTTTAACATGTATCAGAATAGCTAAGTACTATAGTATTAATAGTGCACATAAAGGCTATAAAGGGCAAGGAAAAGCTACAGAAGCTGCTGGAGACAGCTGACAGTATAGGGCAGATTTACATTGCCTGGACTTTGAAGGATTCAATCTGAACAGAAGTGGCAGATAGCACAAACACAGGAAAAAGCAGGACAGAGAGGACACCAAAGTATGTGGTATAAAAGTGAACTAATTGGAGTAAAACAAACCTGACAGGAGACTGGACAGGTTTAGAGGGTCCAACAGACCAGGGTTCTAAATAGATGAATCGAAGGTTTGTACATGCAACATCAGGGAACACTTCTATCACTCTGTTAACATAGTAATAGTCTCTTTCCACCCCTACCTTAATTTGTGTGGGGGGGAGGATGCTTGAAAATAAAACACAAGAGGCACAGAATAAAGGTAGAAAAAGAAAAACAACACCAAAACATTAAATTAGAGGGTATCTAGGAAGCCTGATATGTTAGCAACAGGACATTGTCCTAAATCTATTAACTAGTACAACTCTTCCCCTTCAGACCAGGGAAGTCAAGCATAAACTAAGGATGTATCTTAAGGTCTTCATATACATCTGCTCACATTTACCATGAGTCTTTCAAAGCTCAGGTGAATGCAGATTTATTTTCCCTCCTTTTTTATGTCTGTTATATTTTAGCCTTGAAGCACCCAGTACCCACAGTTCTGACCACATACCACATGCTCTGCAATCTCATTCTAATGACTGAGTGACTAATGCTAGATCCTTATCTGTCTCCCCATCTGTAATGTAAATAATTGTCCCTACCTAAGGGGCTGTGAGGACTGAAAGAGTTGTTAAAAAGTATATAAATGCTTATTATTATTTCAGCACTGTTTGTCTCCAAGCACAGTGTAATCCTTTCCAATCCCACATTTCCTATATTGTATAGTTATATTCCATGATGATTTTTCCTGATTATGTCAAAACACATTAAATTGCCTCCCTTGAATTCCTGCAGCCCTCGTAGTAACAGACTGGTACCAAATCTTGAAAGTTGGGTGTGGCAGTACACACCTATCTATATCTATAGTGTTCAGGAGGCTAAGAGAGGCAGATTACAAGGCCAGTCTAGGTTACATCAAGATACCCTGCATAAACAAATATGAAGGATACACATCTGAAATAAATTTAGCACCTAGATTCATCCATGTAACCACATATAAATAACTTTAAGTTCTTAAGCCTAGATACCCACACAGCAGCAAATTAAATCTGGAATATACCAAGCATATTGTTTGTCATCTCAGACACAGAATTTGTGAAAAGAAATGTTTTATCATGTCTTTCCTTTGCATAAGGTGGTTTTAGAGTCTTGCAAGTTGCATGTCAACGGTACCCTGTTACAAACAGAATGAGTATGATTGTTAAAGAACATAATTAAAGATGAGCACGTGCAAAGCATAAAAAATTATCTACCACCAATCAAACAAGTTTGTTTCTAAAGATGGGGAGAATTCAACCAAGAATACACATATTTATATACACCACAATTCTCAACAGAGGCACAGAATATCAGTAGAACAAAATTTCTTCTCTCCTGGGTATTCTCAAACAGAAGCTACACAAACAACATGCTGGCATGACATTATTTAAGAACTTGCTGACAGTTACCATTACTAACTACACTGTATCCAGGAAGCAAACTCCCTATTCAGCAGTACCCTCATCACCCTAAAAGAGTCAGACTGGCGCCCCTCTATGCTATTTTACCCATTTACCTCCAGACACTCATTATGCCAAATGGCAAACACAAAAAATTAAATAAGCATTCGAGTCTAGAACTTTGCCAATATGAACATTCATATAAATACTCTTGGTTGGCGCCGTTCTCATTAACCATGCAGTACAGAACGTGAAGGAAACAGTGTAACCCATGAACATTCTGTAATGGGAGAAGATAAACTAATTTTCTGCATTCTCTAAGGATAGAAAAATGGGTTGTTTTTCTGCAGTAAATGGCCAATCAGAAGAATATGTGAGCAACTAAAGAGGACTCTACATGTTTCCCCCCTAAGCAGGGTCATAGCAAGGATAGCAAAGGCAACCCTTAGGATGAGATGAGGAGGTGCTTGGCTAACACAATCTGTAAGTATATTGAACAGCAATCATTCTCCCCAAATCTCACCTCCTGGACCAACACGACCCAGATTATACAAACAAGTGAAAACTAAGACATGAAGTAGAACCTGAGGCAAATCTGAAGCATACAGCCACTGCCCTGCGCTGCTGAAACCCTCCTGTTTGCCAAGTAAACAATTTAAAGAAGGAAAGATTTGTTTTATGTATTTTTTTTCCATTTGCCAAGCAGTCATAATACATTTCTAGGCAATGAGAGGTTGCTATCAGTCATTTTCCAGAAGGTGGGTGGGTAGGAGTGAGAGGGAGTAAGTGTGCCATTAGACCAAAATAAACAAAAGATAATGGTTTGGGTCCCTGGTCCCTCAGGCCTGCCCCTTTGGTCTCGAGATGAGACACAACATCACAGTGGCAGCATACATGGTCAGGGGGCCAGTGACCTCAGGGTAGACAGGAAGCAGAGACAATAATGCCTA